ATGAGAGTCTTGACAGACTATAGACGGTGATGGTGGTGTTGATGAAAGTAATGCTGGGGAGAAGGTATTGGTATTGTGAACCCACGACCTGCTCAATCGAGTGGCAACGCTGCCCCCTGCCGACCAGCGCAGCTCTATGCGCTCTGAGTAACAATAATAATAATAATAAAACGATGTAACACAATTTATTGTTCCTGGGTACTAAAGTGTTATTTTTTTAATTGCTTATGCCTAAAAAATATACAAAATGGCTATTATTATTATTCCCCACAAAATGTTGCTTTTGTGACCAAGATTTTACGTGAAGGAATGATACAAATGCACACCACGTTTTCTCATTGAAAATAGGTACATTTCAAATATCACTGTCCTGGTCACAAAGGCAAAGTTTGTGGGGAATAATATCCATGTTCTGTACTTGTGAGGCATAAGCAATTAGGAAATAATACTTACTACCCAGGAACACTTTTTTTTGTTGCACAGTGTAATACTAACAATAATTGAGATGGGATTTTATTGGATATTGCATTGTTTACTGGTGGCATGCACATCATCGATCGCTCCTCCAGCCATAAGACACATGCCTATACATACGCCACCTCCGGGCACCATTTAATACGTTTAACGATCTTTTTTCGTGACTAATTCAGCACTTGCGCATCTGCTCGGTGCATAGACTGTCACATCGCAGGGTCATGAGGGATAATGACGGCTTGGGAAGGCCTTCATCCAGCAGTGGAGTGACTATGGCTGATGATGATGATGAACATGTGTTTGTAAGCATTTAAGAACTCATTGACACTAGGAGTCCCATATTCAAGGGAGACCTGTGCTGAGTGCATTACTCCAGCAAACTCTGACGTGTCAACGCAATGACGTAAAAATATTGCTTTACAATAACGTTAAGAATATGACATTTGAAAACGTTAAGATTGTTAAACATTACTGTTGTGTTTCTGAAGTTATCCCAATTGCGCTATTGGCGTCACGTCATGGCATAAGGAATCCATCTGTTCGGATCTCTCGCAGGGCAATGCACTCGTTGGGATATCATGGAGCTACGTCTGAGCTACCTTCAAGTAACTCCTGATCTATGCACGAAAGGGCATCACTTTTCCCACTCGTCCCGCCACAGCGAATGGGTCTCATCTTCTTCGCATTACATTCAACTCGACATTTTATTTCTCACGGACGGAAATATCGAATAAAATAAGTGCAAACACAATTTTAATATTCTTTGTATGCAATCACAGAGCGAATCGTACTGAGACCATGCATTTACGACGCCTCAGTCGCTGAATTAATCATCGGCGGCTGCTGCAATTTAGACAACAACATTTGAAATCTGCGAATGGCTAGAAAAGCCATTGCATCAGAAAACGCAATGAGACAATGAGACCGGCGAAGGGTCGGCTACATTTGAAAGCAACGCAAACCCCATGCTGCAGCCGAGACTGCCAAGGCAGCACCCGAAGTGGTCAACTCCCACGGTGTTGAGATGCGGAGTTGAGTGGGAAAAAAAATGTGCATTTGTGTGCGTACTAACCTAACGGTGTCGCTTTTTTTTTACCGACGAGGAACAACACGTGAATTACACGAGATGTACAGGTTACTCGGCTATCCTGTGGACGGATCGTCCCGATTGAGGATCACTCCTACTCATTCGCGGCCTGAAGCTGGTTTCATTAGTGTCAGCTCCTCGCTCATCGCGGGTCACTTGACTCCGTGACCAACGCGGCCTTAAAAAAAACGTCGGCAAGTTAACTTATTACGCTACCAAACAATACCAAAAAAAAATCGACGGCGCGTGCTATGATTTTTCACCGCAATGACTACGTAGGTAAGCAATACTTTGTGTTTTACCACCGAATAATGTCTCCGTTGCAACGGCTACTTTACACACGTTTAGCACTATCCGTGTTTGTGTTTTATTCGGGGCACACCTCCCCCATTCCCCTTGACTTTGAAAGCAACTACAAGTCAATTGAGGTATTCGTCACTTAATATTAATTATAGCAGGGGGCTTCCAGCGGGAGCTGTGCCTGTGAGTCACACGGCAAACGCAGCCCCGGCGTGCACATGCGCATTGTTCAGGCAGTAGAGGCAATTGTTGCTCCCCAATTAAATAATTTTCATATGAAATGCGGGTTATGGTGGCGGCACACATGGCCTACTCTTTTTGGAATAACGAAACGTGATCTTGAGCGTCCGCTGTACCTCTCGTAAGAGTTGTGTTTTCATGTATCCGTGCGTTTTTAAGCACTGAAAACAAAACAAGCGGAAAATTAATTAGCCAAACGTTCTACGATTAAAGCTGCTGCTTAGGGTGTTTGGCCAATGTAATTGTTTGAGTATTGTTGTTGGTGTGGGGACACGAGTCGCCAGAGACACCCTCACGACTTTGATGGGGAATGCATCGAACTCAGATGCCTACTTGCTACACTGTGTGGGAGTGAGGAGGGAGCAATGGGTGGCGCAGGTAGGCTATCTCGATGACAATTCAATGTCATCCGTATTGTGAACATAATTTGCCTAAAAATCACATGAATCCTGTAGATTTGGTGGAAACCCCAAAAATGAAGCAGGTGTGGGCCTTGTTATTAGTCATATCACTATTATTACACCGGTTTACCCAGGAACGCCTCACTGAGTATCATGCCTCTTTTGCAAGAGGGTCCCGCCAAGTTTTTCGCAATAGAGTGCAATCATTGCGATGTAAATATCCAGATTGAGTCATTTTGCGGGTATTTTTTTTATGTTTTCGTCAATTTGGGATCATCACAAAATTTGGACTCTTGCGATTAACGTCACGGGAAACAGACGCCACCCCCATAGTTTCACGGTTAATAACTCGCAGTATTAATAAGGGCAGCTGCTGGATTCGAACTGCGCACCTCCGCAACAAGCTGCGAAAGTGCTACGTTATTTATTACAGACCACTGTCTCGTATTCACATTGTATGGCGGCTTTTGAAAATATTAAGGGTTTTTTTTTCATATCGAATTCGAAAAAAATGTCTCTTCTTGTTAGTTTTGGTTATCGCCCCCCCCCCCCTTGCAAGGTCATGTCAATGCCCCAAGGTTAACTACCCGGGCTTAGTCAGGTGTGTTCCTGTGGGACTGCGCGGCTGTGGCAAGGCGATGGCAGCGTTGAGTGTTATCCCCTCGTGTACGTGAGGTTTTTCTATGGGCTCCGTTTCCTCGCACGTGAAACCACTCACGAACGGAAACGTCCCAATGCATGACTCTCCTAAAAAAAAAAGAGTGCTTAGATTCAGGCGTTGCTGGATAAATATTTGTCATTATTATTATGGATGCTACATGACCAAATCACCCTAGAGATCTCGTCAGATATCAGAAGGTTAAGCCTGGAGGGTGCTCGGATGAGTGACCACCATGCATAAGTGGTTGCGTGGTTACGTGGAGGGCAGCAGAGGGCAGTGTAGCAAAAAAACATTGTTGTACTGTAGCTTCTATGCTCCCGTGTCTATTACTCCCTGTCGTTACCAACCAGCATTGACCAAAGTGGTAAAGTATAGTCAATTAGCCATCACGACCCAGGCAGGCGTGGATTGACAATAGGGGCTATGCATACACACGGTATAATGGCGCCATCTTCTCGTGATCCATCAACCCCCCTGGCCACTGAAGATGGCATGCTCGTAGACGCGGTTGTCGTCGTGACCGATCTGTCTGTGTGCATGTCTTTGTGGGTAAGCACTTTACTCCAAACCTCACCACTTTAGTTCGAATCCGGGCCACGGTTAATATTTGCAGCCAGTGCCATCTGAACCGATACTGAGCCTCCCCTAGGCTGACTCAGCATTAAACGAGTACCTGGTGCAAGTGTGCTAAAATCAGAACTGGGGAGAGACAAAGGCGGCCGGGCGTGGTGCCGGCGGCCACAATATCCCATGTTGGACCGTGTCGACCTTCATATTGAGCTCGCTAACAGCACTTGTGCCCCATTCAGCCAGTGCAGGTTACACAGGAAATCTTCGTCTTTTTGTGTGAGTAGCCTAAGCCTGGCTTAACGGGACTTTTTTGGCTGTAAACAAAGTCTGCGTTGTTGTGGAGCGTTAAGCGTTGAGGCAAATATAAGCCAAACTGTGCCCTGTATCTCCACATTTAAATAAAAATAGCTTTAGTCCATCGCCCTATTGACCTTCCAGCCCAAAATTACCCAGCAGCAGCAGCACTTGTTTAAGCAAGCAAACTCTAGAACGGGTTCAATCTTATACTTCCCATCAGCAGAGCCATGCTTGTCAAACAAATGCTGCTGGATTAACAGATGTTATCGGCAAGGTCACAACCATGTGACATATGACTAAAATACTGTGGTTTTATTTACATCTGGAGTCACAGATTGGAGTCGTGCTTGTACATATTTGGGTTAGTTTAACACGTAGGCTTTCGCGACCAATATCATTCATAATAAAGGTTTTTGGGTTAGATCGCGTTATTTATAAATGTGTCGCAACCCTCCACCACCCGACACGGCCAATCAGCAAAAAAAGTGTCACGCTGACAAAAGACAAATAGTTCACTACTTTAGCCCACCGGTGTGTTGAAGAGTGAATCCACAACATTTACAGTTTGAGTACGACGTTTCGCTGGTAATTACATCCAGCATCATCGGGCGAATTGCCCGATGATGCTGGGTTATTTGGCTGCTATAAATTTCCGCATGCTACTCGTTGGGCTATAATGTGTGGCCAGGTAATTTCTGAAAAAGAAGCTAATAGCTCAGTGGGCTCTACCTGGTCAAATAAAATATTATCGTTATATTCGTATATTTTTTGTGATTTGCTTTACTTTTAACTCCTTTCATGTTTTTGGTGTTGTTTGTTGTTGTAACGTTCTTACCCGCCCCTACTGGACATCTGTGAAAAATAGCTTTATAGCTCATCGGATTCCTCCAGCATAAATGCATTTTCTGATTCTGATACGGTATTTTATTCATGTATTCATTAATCAGCAGCATTTTGGTTAAGCGAGCAAACCCACCGCAGCCGTTTCGACCCTGTGGGTTCTCATCAGCAAAGCCAGGTTTGTTACAACAAACTCTGCTGCCCATCGTGGGGTCGTTGGAGCGGCCAACAGGCCGATGGGACGGACGAACTTGACACACGTGTGTTCTTGCGGGTACGTACTACACAAAGCACTTTGTTGTGTGTCGGGCTGGAGGATGGGAGGATGTAACGTGGGTTTGGGCGGTGCTACGGGATGAGAAAAGGCGGGTCCAGACTGCGCGCATCAGCTGTGTTGAGTCACAGCGAGGCCGGAGCGCGGGGCAGCCGGAGAGGCAGACCGCAGGGAGAGACGACGAGAGAGGGGGGGGGACAGGCGAAGGCGTCCGAGCTCACGGACTCTCTCGAGCGAGGTCCCCCTCGTCTCATCACGACTGCCCCCCCCCACCCTACTCCTCCTCGTTCCGTCGTCTCACCTCTTCACACCACCTCCCCCCACGCCTGACAATGTCTCGTCGCAAGCAAAGTCGACCTCGTCACATCGAGCGTGAGTGTCCTGGGAGGGCGAGCCGGGGGTTGACAGTGGCTGCCCGGGGGTGGTCGAGTTGTAAGACGCGTGTTGTCCTGTTCGTGAGTGTGCGCGTGTTGGGTTGTCGTTGTGTGTTGGTGTGTGAGTGTGCGCGTGTTGTCCTGTTCCTGAGTGTGTGTGCGTGTGTTGGGTTGTCGTTGTGTGTTGGTGTGTGCGCGTTTGCGTTAAAATGGGGGGAGCGGTGGTGTAGCGGTGAGCGCGCTGCGCAACGAACCCGTGCCACCCGAGTTCGATTCGCGCTCACGGCCACCAACACCATCGGTGATGATTATCTTAACCCGTCCTGGGCCTCCCCTAGGTCGACTCGGCCTCAAGTGAGTACCCGGTTGCGGTGTTTAGTAAACATCGCCACTCGGGAGACAAAGGCGGTCGGGCGTGGCGCTTGGCCACCTTCCCCCTCGTGCCGGTAGCCTTCATCGCGAGCAGCACGTGACCCAACAGTCTGTCAAAGGCTACACAGGGGGAATCTGCGGCTAAAGTGCCCTCCGAACCGGAAACTTCAATTCTATTCGCAGCCACGGACATCAGCGGCGATTATCTGAAGGGGTCCTGGGTCTCCTCTGGGTCCACTCGGCCCTAAGAAATAGTGCCCGGTGCGTAAATGCCGTGCGCTGTCCGTAAACGCTGGGGAGGTGAAGGGTGGGCACGGCGGTGGCCGTCGGTGGCCACACCGATTCCTCGTGTGCCGTGCCTGCCGCCGTGTTAATTGGTGCTGTCGAAAAGCGCTTGCCCCCCAGAAGTCTGCGTGGAGAAGGCTACAACGGGGGGGGGGGGGGGGGCGGAGCACATTTTGTTTTTTGTGCTCGTAGTCGGTAGCCGGAGTTTGCCCATGGGCGAGAAAAATACTTAGTTCGCTGATGATTGGGGGGGGTGGTGGTCATTCATTCGTCTTTATGACGATAAGCTCGGGTGACGGTTCGGACGTTTAGGCTGATCTTGCGTCAATGAGTTTAACCCATCAGCTTCAGGGCCCTGACATGTTTTGCTCGTTTTGGGAGCTCAAATTTAATTCGTGTTGGTTTCGGGCCCTTCTAATGTCACGTTCATCATAAAGTGGGATTTGTTTTTTGTTGCTTTGAGTTCGATCGCGTAAATATAAACGCGTCGTTAAACCTTCCAGAGCATTATAATTGACAGCTATCGTGTGTGCAGCAGACCACGTGTTCAACAAAGACGACAACAACACCCTACGTAATCGGGATGGTCATTTATCACACAAACACAATACCCTGCTAATCGTCTTCCGCTGCAGTTGTAATTGGTATACATCGAATATAATTTGTACGTAAAGTCGCCCCTATCCCAATGAGAAGGATAATCGGTGAGGTCGATAAAGCGATACCACTTTGTTGAAAGTTAAGCGATAGACATTTTTAAGTCTTTGTTTTTGAAACCGTTGTTATAGAGTTCCGCGTCATTTACCGAGTGGGATTATTGCCTCTTTTAAAACAACACTGTCACGCGAGACTAATAGAATCCTTAAATTGCATTACCACCAGGAATCAATCGAATCGTTCCACCGATATAAATTATAATAGTGTGCAGCGTTTCTGTTTAATCCACGGCTGGATGAAGTCTTTCCCCACCGCTGCATCGATGACATGGCTTGTTTGTCCATACTTCATACCTGTCAACCCATACGGTTTACCCATATTGTTGTACAGGGACATTGAGTTTTCAGGTCCATACGGCCTACAGCCATTTCAATACGGGGGGAAAATATTGTGTTTATTTGTTTGCATTTCTCCATTGTGACGGGACTTTGTAGGATAAACGCTGCGATTATTAGCGCACGGGTTGAGTCAACCAATGGGATGCCCAGGACAGGTTCAGACAATCGTCACTGGTGTTGGCCCTGAGCGGGAAACGAACTCGGGTCGCAGGGGTTCGTAGTGCAGCGCGCTCACCACTGCACCACCGCTCCCCCATCAGCTTCAGGGCCGTACATTTTTGGGAGCCCAAATTCACACACGCGCGCCTCCACCACTCTCGTAGCCTCGTGGGATCCACGGCGTGTGTCGCGTGCTGAGTATTTTTGGGACCCAAAACTATTCGTCTTATCTGTGGTGCGATCAGCGTTCTGTGAAGCAAACGCGCAGCGAACCCAACCCCATGCAGGTCTCTTGCACGCGTCCTCGGAATCGCGCGTGTGGCGGTGGCACGAACTAAACCTTGATGCCGGAAGGACCGGTTGCTTGGGTTCAGTGGGCGTCCCAAGCGACCCGCGCTCTCAGAGTGAACTAATACCATTACAGACGTAGGACCCATTCGTCAAGTCCATGCGCGTGTTCTTTGACCATAATTCGCTAGGTGCGGGTGGGTACAGGCAGCTGGGAGCGTCGACGTGGGAGCATAGAAGTACCGTGCAACATAATGGTCTTTTTTTCTGTCCTGCCCAACAACGTGGCCCCACGGCCTATAACATATGTTACGTGTGGTGGTGACCCATGTAAGTGTCAAACAATAACCACATGAGTGCAACTTCAATCCACCTGTTCAAATTAAAACAATGCGTTTAAATTCCATCGGCCTATTGTTGCACTTCCCGACTAAATAAACACTGCTGGCTGTTATGCTCTTAGTGAGAGCACGCCGTTCTCACGATGGGCCCGTTAACTGTTGCATGGTACCCGTATCTCATTGTGCTGTGGATTTTTCGGCAACAGACACTGAGTTGCTATCGAAGAGGGTGGCAGGGGGGCGTCGCGTTGACTTCTGGCTGAGCAAGTAAATGTCGATTGATCGCTTCTTACACTCACCGTGCATTGCATGTATTCGAGAAACAAAACTATCAGCGAATTCGTCAATAACATTGTGGTCTTGAATAAAAATGTATATAACAAGTGACGTTTCGGGCAATGGGCCTTCCACACAGCATATAGGTGATTGGGGTAGAGGGAGTGGTCTCTGTGCCGTGAAAAAAGGTGGGCCATTTTATTATTATAATTTTTCCTTTTAAGGCCACGTTTTTTGAGCAATGTTTTGAGACTCTTTGCTAATTGTGCACCACTACCAAAGCAGCAACATCACCAAAAAAGTGTCAAATTTTTCATAAATTTGAATCGCATATTAATATAATCACAAACGTATGCAAATTGGTATACGCCAAGTACGCAATTGTTTCATTGAGGCTCGTTAATCGAAGGGGAGAGCACATACGAGGTGGAACATTCCAGACGGAAACGAGAAAAAAAATAGACGGTTGAATCGAATCATAACCCAGAAATCAACGCTCGTCATAACTGATCGCCACCCTTCCTGATACAAAATAGTCGCGAGCCTCGTCTGCATGTCTACCCCGAATATACATAACGCAGATAGTTAAGCGGCGGACAATAGGTCTCCTTCACATATCTGTCTCTCCACGTAAAAAAAATCATACACAACCTCATCGCCCAACGGTCTTCTGGGAGTGCTTCATTTCAGCAGAGTAGTATTATTATTGATTCCGTACAAACAAAACTCTGGGCCGATTTCGACACAGTCTAATCATCACTGCCAGATGTTCAATCAATGCTGGTGAACTGCCAGATGTCATACGCAAGGGCCCTCTCTTTTTTAGACATGGGTCCCTAGTTCGACCCAAAATTATATCATTCATAATAACGTTAAATACCTACCAAAATAATTCATTAGCACCTTTCTAAATGATTGTTAAACATACGGAGCTTATCGTGAGCAGCTTTCTCATATGATTCAGTTGCCAAGTTCTCTGAGCTAAACAGCCTTAGACATTCATTCAGTGTGCCCCCCCCCCCCCCATGTACCTAGCCTGGCACAAGCGAGTAGGACATGCCCACAAACTCTGTACACGTCACATAATATGCACAAGTGAGTGATGTGGCAGATAGTGGTGTCTTGTTGTTACTGTTTGTGTATGCATAGGGTATCTGTGGCATTTGCTGATTCTTTTATAGGTCTGACCATGATGTTTGTTTGAATACGGTGGCTTTGTGTGCTGTGTATATGGTGTGTGTGTGTGTGTACATTGTGTACAGTGTCAGGTATGAATGTGCTGTGGTCAAGGTTGTTAGTAATATGTATTGCTGTGTGTGTGTGCCAGGGTTTGAATGTGCAGTGTTTACATGGAATGTATCAATGTCTACACGGGGTGTGTCATTTCTCTATGTTGCTGCATGTACACTACGAACTCAGCTGTGGATGTGCCATCTACATTGCACAGTATGTGCGTCTGTGCGATATGCACACGAAAAGTATGCGTGTGTGCTATCTGGAGGTGTTATCTGGTGCGGAGGTGTGTGTGTGTTTGCTACATGCGCACTAGATTAGTCCGAATGTATCGGACTTGACGTGTGTGCATGCCACGTGTACACGGCGTATGTGTTATCGTGTACAGTGATCGTTAGCATACTTCACGTGGTCAGTTTACCACGTTAACACGAGGGGTTGAGTACATTTGGTACGTGTACTTGTAGGGCGTGGTGTGTTTGTGTGTAAACACACAGTAGGTACACACACATACTGGGTACACTCACACACACACTAGGTACACTCACACACACTGGGTACACACACACACTGGGTACACACACACACACTGGGTACACTCACACACACACTGGGTACACACACACACTGGGTACACTCACGCACACACTGGGTACACACACACACTGGGTACACACACACTGGGTACACACACACACTGGGTACACTCACACTGGGTACACTCACACTGGGTACACACACACACTGGGTACACATACTGGGTACACACACACACTGGGTACACACACACTCTGGGTACACTCACACTGGGTACACACACACTGGGTACACACACACTGGGTACACTCACACACACACTGGGTACACACACACACTGGGTACACACACACACTGGGTACACACACTGGGTACACACACACACTGGGTAAAGTCACACACACACACTGGGTACACACACTGGGTAAAGTCACACACACACACTGGGTACA